ATTTATTTATGAACAACAATAGTTAAATATGTATTCATACAATAATCATACCTTTTTGTGTTAATATTACATTCTCAATTAAATTAGATGATCTGACCACAAGGGCACATATGTGCATGCCGAAATAGATGCTATTGAATTCCAGTATTCACGGCCCTCCATTTGGTTAAGAGTTTGAAAGACTCGGCAGAATTAATCTATAATTCACTACTTTAATAATGCCGGAAACTTATCGGTTACTTTTTCCTTAAGTAGCAAGCTACTATCGGATTATTGATAGGTTGCCTGCTTACTGTACTCTTGAGCAAATAGTCAATAAATTAACATTGCCGTAGCTGTATAGTTTTAAACAAGGTTGCACAGCACCCTCTAGATAATGGTTGGTGGGTTCAAAGCTCAGTCACAACATTTTTTATCGATATTTACTGTTTAATTTTATTTTTTTATATGAGTAAATTTTTACTTTGAAATCGGGCATAACAAATCATTTACTAAAATTGCTAGTACTTAATGTTTGTTTCACCACAACTACTGTATCATATGTACCGGCCCAGTAGTGGGATATAGTGACAATGTTAATACAGTAATACATCTATATAAAGATTTATCACTGGTTAGCTTGTAAATATATACATATTAATGCAAACTATCTGTGACAATGTCATCCAAAATTAAAACAAAGTGTTTAAAAATGTGATAGCAACTAGCGAGACAGAAAACTACCAATCAGTAGAGACAGTGGCCTGTTTGAGACAATGAAATATAGTCAATTGTAGTATGATTATCTTTTGAAACACTTACAAGTTTGACTTAAGAAATTGACGAGTTTCATTTTGTCCTCTTTTGCATTGGGTATTTCAAAGAAAAAGCCATGAGCACATGTCCCTTTTCATGTGTCAAAGCGGAAGTTAGTGTCAATATATTAGTATGCAGAGTGTGGATTGAGACTTATCATCTGACTACAGATTTGTTATTTATTAAATTAGTTTTATTGGTGTTTACGAAGCATATCCATGAGCATAACCATATCTTATTTGCCATAGTAAATAGAGATGATCTTGGCATGATAATCTTACCAAGTTGTGTTCCTCTTTTGACAATGTCAACTGGCACAAGCACAATGTGACAGCAAATAATTGAAGAAAACTTGATTTGCGGGATCATATTTACCTGGTTTGGTTATTAATAGGTTAATAATTATTTGTACCTGTGATTTCAGCACTCTAGACACAGTTGGTTAGGACTGTTCGTGTATGTAAGATAAATCAGAAATATTGTGCAGATTTTTTACTTCAACTGTATTAATTAAAAGTCAATAAATGTGATGACAGCGAATTTTGAAGAATTCTCAAGTTTTGGACAGTATATAGTTGGTCTGACATGATAGTTCGCATTCTGAAGCTGCAGATTCTGAGATCGATTTCTTCGCACCAGAGATTGTTTTTTATTGAATATTTGGATATGCACATTACACAAGTAGAAGCATATTTTCAGTATTTTCAATACCAAAAACTACATTTGAACAGTATATAGTTGTGCACATTATTCATGTTTTTGTGGTAGTGAATTCCTGTTGCGAAAATTCAAAGTAAGTATATTGCTCTCTTGAAAGTCAAAGCAAGTAAAATTCTGCCATGAAAACCAGAGAAGTAAATTTCCATTATGAAAATCAAAGTCATTTGAAGTTCTGTTTTGAAAAAAAAGGGAAAAAAATCAGACTGCAGAATATATGTCTTTGTTAATTTGTTTCTCTGAGAGAACATGACTATTTTTTGCATGCATATCAATTGAAGAACATGAAAACCTCTTCACTTAAATAAACATAAGCAGATTTAACAATGATAAATGATTTTCATCCATATACAGCAAACAAAATATACAAAAGCTAAAATGAGGTTCAATTAAAATTAAGAGCAATATTTAAAGCCTAAAGATCATTGGAGTATTTTTTTATAACATAAGATCTTGATACATGGACAGTTCAAATATAACTTAACTCATTCAAATAACTACAAAGCTTATCATTATAGAAATATACGGAATTATATAGAGTAGATAAAAATCATTTCTGTATGTCTTTTTCCTTCCGTTATTTCTCTGTTTAAATGGTGAGGGTAGACATGATGTCAGTGTCTTCCTACATTTAGAAGGTGCTATGGTGAGGTGAAAAGGTATGTGTTCAGTCTCCGCCCACATTCAGAAGGTGCTATGGTGAGGTGGAAATGTATGTGTTCAGTCTCCACCAACATTAAGAAGGTGCTATGGTGAGGTGAAAAGGTATGTGTTCAGTCTCCGCCCACATTCAGAAGGTGCTATGGTGAGGTGGAAATGTATGTGTTCAGTCTCCACCAACATTCAGAAGGTGCTATGGTGAGGTGAAAAGGTATGTGTTCAGTCTCCGCCCACATTCAGAAGGTGCTATGGTGAGGTGGAAATGTATGTGTTCAGTCTCCGCCCACATTCAGAAGGTGCTATGGTGAGGTGGAAATGTATGTGTTCAGTCTCCGCCCACATTCAGAAGGTGCTATGGTGAGGTGGAAATGTATGTGTTCAGTCTCCGCCCACATTCAGAAGGTGCTATGGTGAGGTGGAAATGTATGTGTTCAGTCTCCGCCCACATTCAGAAGGTGCTATGGTGAGGTGGAAATGTATGTGTTCAGTCTCCGCCCACATTCAGAAGGTGCTATGGTGAGGTGGAAATTATGTGTTCAGTCTCCGCCCACATTCAGAAGGTGCTATGGTGAGGTGAAAAGGTATGTGTTCAGTCTCCGCCCACATTCAGAAGGTGCTATGGTGAGATGGAAATGAATGTGTATGTGTTCAGTCTCAGCCCACATTCAGAAGGTGCTATGGTGAGGTGGAAATGTATGTGTTCAGTCTCCACCAACATTAAGAAGGTGCTATGGTGAGGTGAAAAGGTATGTGTTCAGTCTCCGCCCACATTCAGAAGGTGCTATGGTGAGGTGAAAAGGTATGTGTTCAGTCTCCGCCCACATTCAGAAGGTGCTATGGTGAGGTGGAAATGTATGTGTTCAGTTTCCTCACCCAATTCAGAAGGTGCTATGTTGAGATGGAAATGTATGTGTTCAGTTTCCTCACCCACATTCAGAAGGTGCTATGGTGAGGTGAAAAGGTATGTGTTCAGTCTCCGCCCACATTCAGAGTGTGCTATAGTGAGGTGAAAAGGTATGTGTTCAGTCTCCGCCCACATTCAGAAGGTGCTATGGTGAGGTGAAAAGGTATGAGGTAATTTTCTCCTACATTCAGAAGGTGCTATGGTGAGGTGAAAAGATATGTGTCCAGTTTCCTCCCACATTCAGAAGGTACTATGGTGAGGTGAAAATGTATGTGTTCAGTCTCCGCCCACATTCAGAAGGTACTATGGTGAGGTGAAAATGTATGTGTTCAGTCTCCGCCCACATTCAGAAGGTACTATGGTGAGGTGAATATGTATTGGACTGACTACAGTAAATAAACAGTCCCACATAAAGGTCCCTGTGACATTCTATCTGGACCGACTACAGTAAATAAACAATCCCACATCAAGGTCCCTGTGACCTTCTATCTGGACCGACTACAGTAAATAAACAATCCGACATCAAGGTCCCTGTGACCTTCTATCTGGACTCACTACAGTAAATAAACAATCCCACATCAAGGTCCCTGTGACCTTCTATCTGGACTCACTACAGTAAATAAACAATCCCACATAAAGATCCCTGTGACCTTCTATCTGGACCCACTACAGTAAATAAACAATCCCACATCAAGGTCCCTGTGACCTTCTATCTGGGCCCACTACAGTAAATAAATAATCCCACATTAAGGTCCCTGTGACGTTCTATCTGGACCCACTACAATAAATAAACAATCTCACATAAAGATCCCTGTGACCTTCTATCTGGACCCACTACAGTAAATAAACAATCCCACATAAAGATCCCTGTGACCTTCTATCTGGACTAAATAGCAAAATTTAATTCATATCACTTACAGACTTCTAACTTCTGTTTTATTATTATTATAGAATACAAGAGTATCCTACGATCTCCTGCATTAAATTTATTATGATATCCCTATTATTGTCCTTTAATTTTCACAAGTTTCTTCATTGTAAAAGAGATCAGATATCTAACAGTTCCTTTGAATAATAGAGAGGGTATATATAATTTCATCAGACTGTTTAGACTCAGGTCAGCTTAACAGGTATCACATTTGTGCTACAATGCACAACTTTTACTTTAAATGGACCTTGATTAATGCCTAGCATGGTTAGCCAAGACAACTGTAAAACTCTAGCTTTATATTAATTTTCAAAGGTTTGAATGCAGATTCACCACTATTAATGATATGACATTTGTAACATAAATTTGTCACTCAGATTTGTCTATCCAGTTTATTTTATTTATTTTTGTGGGGTAAAATGTCTACACTACTGCCCAATCTCTACCAGAGTTGTTGTTCCTTAACAGTCACAATACACCTCTGTAAACAGCTCAAGGGCTACCAATAGTCGACACTGCGGTCAAGGTCAAAGTTTGACATCATGCAAAACTATGGCGGCATCCTTGTAAACACCAACAAAGGAGACAGCTGTATGTTGTTTTGTATACCTGCCATTGATCAGCATAAAAAAAATCATTTGTGCATTTTGAGAGGTTTATGTAGCATCAGTTATCACTGATAAACACAGTATATTGTAATAGGAAGGAGTAGTGAACCACTGGGGTTCGAACTAGCGACCCTTTGGTCTCTAGCCGGACACTCTACCCCTCAACTAAAGGGAAATTGGTGACTGTTTACTCAAAATTGATCTTCAGCGAGATAGTCAATAACATTCATAGCCATAGAAACTAATGCAATAATTTTGGACATGAACGAACATCTATTTTCAAAAAAATGGTACTAATAACAAAACAGAACAATACTGAAATACTTTATTATTTGATAAAAATATGTTTTTCAAGAATCTTGAAAAATGGCTTGAGCCATTTAAAGAGGTGTTATTGGGATACCGCAATGCATGCTGGGAGAGATTGACTCCTCCTTGTCCTCGTCGTCCTCCTCCTTATCTTATCCTCCTCCTCCTAAAATTGTATTGTATTATCACACAATGAGTAATGTTGATTTAATACATTCCTACTTATTAAAACTTATGATGTGCGTTTAGTACAATGAATTATCATTATAATTCTATTGAAGAGAAATTGATTTAAGTGGGCTTATTATCATACAGGTATGATAAGAGGAGCTGACAGTTTACGAAAATGTACATTTATGATGTCAAATATTGTTCAGAAAAAAACAAACAAACAAAAGGAGCCCATTGCTAGTATGAAGATCATTGGTTGAAAAAAAAAATCATCACAAAAAATATAACATTTTTGGGAAAGATCTAACAAAATTTTGCTCCCTTTAGACATAATGCTGATTCAAAAATAGCTTTCCCTTGTTGGTAATGTGCAGTTTCTTTAATAGCTCCATCAGCGCCTACTAGTGAATGTGTCACACCTGAGCGACACTTTTGAACTGATAACACTTAACACATATAATGCAAATCAACCTCACCAAGAGTTTTGGATCCTTGTACAACATGCTGACCGTTGTAGAACTTTGTTGGTTCTTATAATCTTCTCTTGGGTGTAAATTTCTATGCTGAACAAGGAAAGCCACTATCTCGGACAAGATGTTGGACAGGAGCTTTCAATGTAAGCCATTCCATATTTATGTTTTCAGTGATCTGAAGATAAAAATGTTTTTAACATATAAAGATGCAGTGATGTGTACAGATTTCATTTCAGATGTTAATAATTTTCTATTGTACATATGTTGTACAATGTGCACACATGTGGTGTCAGGTTGTCAATAATCAGAAGACATGTTATACCAGGCGTTTAGTTGCTAAATTTTCAAAAACTTGTTTATGAATCTAACATTTTAAACCATTTATGCTTTTAACTTAAGGCGCGAGATATGGAAAAAAGTGTGTTGGGGTACCTGTTAACATTGTCTCTATAAATATTAATTATATCATTACTTCAGAATAGATCAACTGTTTATACTGTAAGGACTGTTTTTGCAGTTTTCAATAAATAAGTTCACAAAAATTAGATTCACCGCCAACAAAAGCGATTGTGCAATAAATGACCTCCATGAAAATGATATCTCTTTATGATTTAAACGTTCAAAATTCACCAACGTGTTTTCAAGCAACAAGCATTGGTATCTCAATAAGGTTAAAACTAAGTCTTTTAATGAATTGACAATGTTTGAAATTTAAGTCTTTGGGTTGATAAGTATGTATATATATATAATTTGGTATAGAGTAATGGTTCTTATATCACAACCTTTAACACTCCAGAATACATTGAACATGGAACTGACACTTAAACATGCATCCAACGCTATCAAGTCAGACTCCTTTTCATTACTACCATTGAATAACTCTTCAGTTGCATTCTTTATCATTAGAAGTACTGGGTGGAGATTTTTGGTCAGTAACTGTTGTTATTTAATTAAACATCACTCACTGCTACAATCAGTTTATAAAAAGTATGTATTAAAAAAATAGAGAAAAAGAATAGGGAAAAGTGACAAAGATATGATGTTTTGAACTAGGATCAAAGGTGTGTTCCTTTAGAAGTATGACTAACATCTTACCACCTGTGTTTTAGACTCTGATGACAAAATCGTTAGCATTTGAATGGTTCTAGTAAATTAAAGATGAAAAATCAGATTTATTTTTTTTTCGGTACCATTGCACTTGTATGAATGTTTAAGGAAAGGGTTTAAGTTTAAGCCCATCCTCCCTCTAGTACGGGACTAGGGAATAGGATCGTACATACACATACCGACTGCAATCATTGCCACCATCATAATAATAGCAAGATTATGTGTGAATTATGTCTTTTTTGAATGAAATCTATATTCGTATATAGCTATAAATATTGTTTGGAATAAAAAAAAATATGAATTCAACCATATTTTTAATAATATGAAGAAAACATTGAAATGGATTTCCTATCTGGAGATTATTTATGATGATTCTTGTAGAAGTGTTGGGACTAGGGCCAGGTACAAGGTACAGAATTTCGCCTCAACCATATTTATAAAGTATATGGAATTGCTGACTTGCATGCCATATAGCGTTAATTCAAATAATGACTGTTCATTTTGTATTTGTTGATTCTGAATTGGTTACTATTAATTTTGTACCAATCGCCTTTGAATAGGTTTCTGTTCATTTTGTACCAATCGGTTTTGAAAAGGTTTCTGTTCGTGTTGTACGAATCGCTTCATTTTGAACTGGTTACAATTAGTTTTGTACCCGAGTCTGTTGATATTGTTTTTAAGTCATTTATTTCATGATGCATACTATCTCAACACTGATCTCTATATTTTGTATAATTAGATGTTTATGAAATTAATTGTTCGTTTGGTAATGAGGTATTTTTTTACCCTTTTCAACAACTATGATATTTGTTCTGTGGTGAACTTTTCAAGAAAATAGTTTGTTGGTTTTCTGTAAATTTTATCAGTCCAGTATAGACTGTAAAAAGTGTTATTTTCAATGGGTCCAACAACCTACATTATAGATATTAAAAAGTGGCAAAAAATGTGTAAAGAAATTTGTAGTAAGTTGGCTTAAAATCAATCCTAAATGAAGAGTATTCTTTAAAATGATAACCTGGCTAAGACATGTCACTTCTGTATTTATTGTGAAAATTTAGCAATCCAACACTTGACATTCAGTCTTTTTATTGCATCTCTAGTCACTAATGTCTAAAATTTAATTAACAGATAATAATTTTGACTGTTTGTCTGTCACTGTTGATGTGATAATTGTCACGAGGATCTTACTCAGTAACGCAATGCTAATTATTGCCATAGGTTGTGTAATACTTATACGCAGAAAAGTACCTATTCAATATTTATAGATAATGAATTTATAAGTTAAGTGACCTCACTGAACTAAGAATTTTATGGATTTCAATTTATGAAGTTTTATATTTATATCATCCTGTGATAGAGCTTTATCCTAAATATAATAGATATGATCTGTATTTATCATGATACTGGCAACAGTAATGTACGACTTAGTTTGTAAGATTTGTACTGTTGTACAACAGACAGTATGTAATATATTATTAATGGTCAATGTGCACCATGCATACATCATATGCTATAAAAGGGAGACAACTCCCAGGGGAGGAAGCCCTTGAGAGACTTTAAACCCAATAGTTCACCTTTGTTTTACTGTTACCTGACAACTCTCACAACCTCATAAAATATTTGTTTTATCAATACATGCCTGATTATCTTATGGGTATATGGTACCTAGCTGTTATTTGTTGGGTGTTTTGTCTGTTCATTAGAGTTCTACTCCCAAGGAAAAGGGGAAAAAAAAGTTAGAGAAATAATAAATGTAATGTAACACAAGTAGCAGATTATTTTTCAAACTTAAAACGTGTTAAACTTCTAGTATCATTTCCATTCATTGGTTTCATTTCCATTTCAACAAGAGAATTGTCTATTGTCTAAAACTGTATCATACATCTACTTTGTACTCATGCATCTTTAATTCAACACTGCGTTACTAGAGATATTGTAGTGTTTGTGTTATATATAGTTTTCTGTACTAAAGTTGTGTCTCTCACTTCATATATAGAGTTATGGCCCTTAGTTTACAGTGATCTGCCAATGATCTGTCAATAAAGAATTGTTGAGCAAAACAACAAGTGATGAATATTTGGTGAGGTGTTTCTTTTAGTATAGTTTGTAATCTGATATTTCAACTTTAAAATCTTTCTGCATTGGAGTTTGCTTTCATTTTAAAGATGTTTGTAGAAAATGAAATATTTCATTTTTGTACACGTATTCCTCTGCTAGTTACACATCGTTACTTGTTCTCTTTCTAACTCGTGATCACAAGATTCAAAGAAGATAAAAAATCTGCCTGCAATCATGATACCGCCTACACACACAATGACAGTGGAATATCTAAAACCTTTAAAAATTTTTGTTCTGTAAAAATATCAGGATTCTGTCCCAATTTGATCTAAAGAATACCTAGTCGAAAGGAACCCAATTCAGTATCTACCAGGAGTCTGACATCAGAGGTGTTGGGCCTGAAGGGTATTGTCCATGTTTGGTCTGAAGCAATTTTCATGAACAGTGAATCTGACTTATGTTTGACCACTAGACCAGGACCCAATAGGGAATTTTTTCAGAAATGATCTATCATATTAGAAATTCCTTTTTACGTGATTAAGTAGCAGAATTAGCAAGGTGAGCAATGCTTCTAAACTATTTAGTTCAAAGAGAAAATAGTTCAGTTTATATTCAGAAAAGATGTGTCACTGAAGTGATCCACATACTGATTTTAATGATAATTCAGGTATAACTTTTCGTAATTTTAAAGTAATAACATGCATTTTACATTTTTTTCTCTATCTATTAAGAATTATAATAAGTTAGATAATTGCTAAAATCAAAGTATTACATCATTTCATTTTTATGAACTTTTCTAAGAAATTGCACATCAGCATGTTTTATATGACCAAAGAAACATTATGCTTCGAAGCTAGGTTTGGTAGTAATACCTTTCAACATTTATTTTCACATAAATATAAATACACTGCTGTAATAATCAATAGAAACAGGCTATTACATATACAGCTGGTAACAGTATTTTATATCATATATATATATATATAATAAAAGAGCTTCAAAGAAAATATGAAGATAATATTAATGTTGGTGAGAGCATTAGTATAGGGTCATTAAATCTTTAATGCATTAATAATAAACATTTTCATTAACATGTTGAACAACATTTGCAGTAATATATTATTGATATAAAGTTTTCTCATCAGTGAAACAGTTCTCTTGTTATGGAAACACGAAGAAAATACCAACATGTCAAGATAATCATAATCTAAACTCAAATTCAATGAAACTAGGCAAATATGAACAAAAGTAAAGATTTACACAGACTCCTGTGAAAAGAGAATAAGACCAGGTGTTCCAAAGAGAATGCATCTTCTGCTTCATCGATGACAAACGCTATGTTAATATTAGTCAATCATAGTAAGTAACGTCACATTCTCAAATGAGAAGAAGGTATACAACAATGGAACCAACAGGTAAACTAACAGCATCAAACAAGTCCAGCTTCATATTGCCCCAAGAGATAGAACATTTCTCTATGAGATCACTCTGACATCTGTAAACATTTGATGTACAAATCATGTTTGTATTGGTTTCAATATTAGTTTCTTAATTCTACCATCAAAGAAATACAATTTTTTAGGAATTGTAAGTACTGCATGTAGGATCACAAACATTGGCGATAAATCTTTCTATCTATTTTGATGAAATTCGTTTCAGACCATTCATAAAATATCAACGTTTCCTTTAGGATGTAAACCAGGGCCATGTCTACAGAGGTATTGGCTGTGACAGCTCAGCTAATTAGAGCATTTGACCAATGTAATGACAGGTGAAGAGTTCAGGTGCATTGCTTGATGTTCCTTGCCTGTGACAGTTTGTGTTTATTAGGAAGTTAAGAAAGGAACTGGTCTTTGCTGACATTGTTATATCCTTGAGCAAGACACTTTACCGTAATTGCTCTGGAAAATTGTTACTGGTTGTTACAAGAAGACCCTGACTCAAAATGACCCTGGCTGTTAACAGGGTGATAAACCAGACAACAAACATGTCTGTAAACATAACGTATAT